GCTAGCTAATTTCTGCAGCACTTTATTAGTAGCAGTCAGTAGGATTTGTATCATAAACATCTATACAAAATCTAATTACATTTCATCCAATAGTTGTCGAGAGATGAGTTGTTCAGTTTAGACCGGAGGGGACCAACTGACCCTCAGATGTTGCCGTGGGCTACCCTGTCTAAAATATTTTTTACGGCACTTAATTAACTGTAGAAGTTAGCCCCACCACACAATAACCCATGTTTGAGTAATGTATGGAGATTTTTTATCAGGCACATATATGTATTGGTGGAAATCCTTCCGTCACGTTAGCACAAAGTTGTTAACATCAACCCAAAGCAACTAAAATGTTGTAAACCTTTCCATATAGTACAACAACATACAAATATGTAAGTGTCAACATGTAGCAAAACTAGAAAAAAAGACTTGGATCCAAATGACCATATCAAAACACCAGTTATATTTTTCTTCTTCTAAAGTCAGAATATTCAAAAGCATTTACAATTTACAGAGTACTCAATATATATTACATGGTACATACAGAGGAGGATGTTTATGGTGCACCTCACTCAAGAAACCAGCTTAAACAGGCTCTTCTATCAGTGCACTGTGTCTATTTATATCACTAAAGTACAAAGCACTTACATCTGTCCCAAAGGCAACAGTGACATCCAACTCTTTGACAAATGACAGTCAAGTGTTCTCGCATCACTGACAATAACAATAAAAAGTCAGTAATAAAACAAAACCGTTCCTACAAGACATCAGATCCCATATGACGTAATTGTCTTGCCATTTAAGGCTTCATTACCTTCACCCAGCTTGGCAACACTGATGGAGCTTAATAACTGTGAGGCAATCAGAGGTTACAGCCAAAATATACACAACCCTCATTCTTTACAATTGTCGTGTTTTCTTAAAAGTCTCTTTTTCTTTATCCATCACAAATCTGCATGCACGATCAAGTTTGGAGCAACAAAAAGCCAAGGGAGCTTTTGATGTCTTCACAGCTGGTGTCTGTCGTTTGAATCTCCCTCTATCCAAGCTCCATTTCTTGTGGCCTGCATGCGTGTCATTTTTTGGCTAATGTCAAAGTGGGCAGATTTTTTGTCAAACAAACATTTCACAGAGGCAGAGCTGCTCTGATGGCAGAAATAATATATTAACTTGAGTTGCAACAGTAACACCATCTTCACACTCAGATGATGATGCCAACGATTTTTGGTGATGGCATGATGTTAATGGTAAATCCTGATGCTGTTGTCTTGGTGTCACATATGCTGTTACATCATTTTATTTATCTCTCCAAAAGTTTCTTTGCATCAGATTATTACATCAATCTTAAATGATTGATTTAACAATAATAAAGGCTATCAGTAGACTGAAGAAAAATGTTGAAGAGCATTTGGGATTTCCTCTGAATCGAGCAGGGGCTTTTGGATGCCTGTACGTTAGGGTGTAAGAGTCATTGTAAGCTTGGCAGTTAAAGATCATTTTTTTTAACATTTCCACATTAAAATGTCTAAAAAACAACGAGACCTATTTCATATTTTGTCGGGTTTTGTACTTACATTATCCAAAATCTTTGAAACACTTTAAAAACCTAGAGAAATACATACATTGTAACTCCTTTGTGCAAATGTCAGCGTTGGGGTTGTCTCCTAAAAGCTTTTTCTATTTATAAGCCACATTATTGTTCACCTGGTCCATTTCTGTAAGAGAAGGAGACCTCTCAAGTGATTAGGCTCCCAGGAGAAGCTGACTGAAATGAAGGCAATGGTGGCGAAGACTACAACTCCCATGATTCTACACCACTTCCCTAGACCACTTGTTTTGTTTGGATTGAAAGACCACTAGTGGCAAAAAAAAATATATATATTGTGCGTTTGAAGCAGAGCCAGACAACTCAGGGCTCTTCATTAAATTGTGTCCATTTCCCAAAGAACATGTCTATAGAGAGTAAACTGGGATTTCATACACACATGCTCAGTGTGACGAGTGTTTCTCTAATTTAGAGGATCTGCAGCTTTAAGGCACTTAGCTTACTGGCTTTGTACGATTAACGGCAGCATTTAGGCTTGATAGTTAGCCTTAATCTGCTATTTATATGCCATATCAAGTATTAGCGGATAATTATTACCTTTTCCACCCCTGTGTTAGTGTTATAATCTCACTCACATATTTTAGGCTCTTATCATTTCTACTTCCAGAGAAGCTCTGTCTTAAAATGTTTGCATTACCTAAACCACCATCTGTAGGATTGGGCAACAGCGCCCATCAGTAGTGACAGGTGTCAAGTGACTGGAGTGTGAGGTGCTGCTGGACATCCATCCCCCTGTCAGACCTCCAAGATACTCTGGGGCTGCTCTTGAGCTTGTTGGGGTGGGGGCAGGAGGCGACAAATGGGCTTGTTGCACATGGGGCAGACACTGCGGATCTCTAACCATTTCATCAGACACCTGAAGAAAGCAGATAGATGAGACATGTTACCATATTTAATCATTTCAAAAGCAAGACAAAGTAAGTTACTGAGGTAGGTCTCTAATGTTCAAAAAGCTCTTTATGTTTTCTCATACTTCCTTTGCTGCAGCTACACTCTTCAACCTCTGTCTTAAACCAGAGCCCACTAAGAGATGTCCCGCCCCTTAGCCTATCACGTACAATGTGTTGCAGCGCTAGCCAATAGAAGCGCGAATGTCACGTAGTTATGTCCCTATGTCACGGAAGTCAAAAGGAGTCCAATGGAGGTGTTTAAGGCATGGAGGAGTGTGTGGGAGAGAAACTTCCTCTGGGGGGAACTTTGGGATTTTAGCCTTTGCAGACCATTTACATGCACTAAAACCTATATAGTAAACTACAGGAAAGGGAAAACCAAAAAAGCTAAATAAGGGCTAACATTTAGCTAAAAGCACAATGAAACCTCACCATGTTGATTACTAACATGAACACATTTTTCATCCCAAATGTTTTGTTAAATGTGTATTAGTATATAACTGAGGCATTATCTAAGGCAGGGATGGGCAACTTTGATGGTGGTGGGGGCCACATAATTGATGTAATGGCCACCAAGCGGGCTGCAGATTCACTTGGAACACACACACACACACACAAATTCCATGTATTGTATGTAATTATTAACAATTATACTAAGTCTGACATCTTCATTGACATTTTACAATCTTTCAGGGAACATCCTCTCATAAGCTCACTCAACAAATATCACTTCACAGAAATGTTATTTAATTTTTACAAGTGGCATGTTTGTATTGAACAGGTTATTTAACAGCGGAATAAAACTATTTTTAAACTATTGGAAAGCACGGGAAATGTGTGTGCATTGAGATTAACCATTAAGATGACATAAACTTGAAGTCATGAACACTAACCCAGACATTAGTTGTCTAACTTGAACCTAAGACACTTGTAGCCTGTCTCTGCATTCCCCTTATTCCACAATAAGGGGAGTGTCCACACAGACACCTGTCAACCCGCACTCTGCTGTTCCTCAGCGCCGCTCCCCCTCCCTCCCGCTGAAATTATGAATGAAAAGCGTATAGTAATCATAGATAACACGGCAGGGTCCGTGACAGTTTGTTTTCATCTGATTTCAAATAAACAAAGTCTTGGTTTTTAGAATATTAAACTCGTTTCGCCAAATTCAGATGATAAATACACATTTTAAGCTTGTAAAGGCATAATTACAAGCGGTAACTTAACGTCACAGCAGGCATAACAACAGCCGGTGTTTCTTGTGAGTGTTTCCCCGGTAAACAAACACTCTGATCTAAGGTTTAGGCCTGTTGAATTTAGGAGAAATCTTCAGATGCAAACACCTAAATATACACAAGTAGAGGTGTATTTTGACCTATGATTTTGGCGAGTGCACGAAAAAAACATGTTTTTCTTCATCAACAGATGCTAACAGGACTGAACAAACAGATATACAGGATCTGTACACAGTTCAAAGATGCTGCTGACACAGGTGGAGAAAGACCGGTCTGAAAGCACTCTTATGTTACACCTCCGCTGCAGGGTGAAAACCGGTCTCTGTTGCTTTAAGCATGCTCATGCTCAAACATGCAGCATAATGTTGTCAGAAATGTAATTGTCATTTTCTGAAGAGCAGCCTCAAAACTTACTCAATATCTTTTTTCTTAATTTTACAACTTTGCTCATAAATAAAAAAAAAAGAGCATGAAGGGGAATTTAGTGTTTAAATCTGGTTCCTCAAGATTTTTCCATATAATGTCTTGAAAAAATGTTAAGAAAACAAATATTTTTACGGGTTTAAAAAAGGACCAGCAATTTGTGAAAAGCCAAACAAACTAATCATGTCTGGTTTTCTGTTTTTTACGACTAGGAGTTTGAAACACAGTTTGCAAGTTCACCAAAATATGGAGTCAGCTGTTAGATGAATACAAAGCAGGAATATTGAACTTACTTCTTGTGAAAGGCGTGAGAACATGAGCACACTCCAAGCTCGTCCCTGCTGCGGAACTCGTCTAAACACACCGCACATGTTTGCTAGAAAGGAGAAACGACAGGTTAGGAAAACAGTTCATAATCAACACCTAAAGTATATATTGGTAATATCCTAAAGAAATCAGAATACAGCATTTACAAAGTCTGAGCAATAATGCTTGTTCAGCTGCTTGTACTGTGGGATTCTTTACATAAATAATCACCAGTAAAGATTCTCCATGAATAAATTGAAATACATGTCATCATTGCCATTACCCCTATTCATCTTAATACTCAAAAGTATGTATTTTCTCACAACAACACTTCCTGGAATTAAATCGATAAGCTATAGACTCACTATATGTTAGTATTTTCTCATTTTCTCATTGTCTTTTCGATATTATTATGTACGATTGAATCGGGACATAGGGTATGAGTCAGCCAGAAGAACGTTCACATGACTGTAACTGTCAGAGCCACCTTTAAAAATGGCCAGAGTGAATATACAATATTACCTTTTCATTATGGCCAGGTAATACTTGGCAAAATGACTCAAAATAGTAGAGTCAGTATTTGTGTCTTATGTTTTAATCATTTATTTTCTTATTTCCCTAAATGCATATTTCTGTTACTATTTTGCCCTGTGATGGTATTAACTCTTATACATTTTATATGTATTACTATGTTGGGGTTTTTATTCTTATAAAGTTATAATTTCGGAACAATCTCTGGTACAAGATTGTCTTACGTGATTAAACAAATTAATATGAATTAATAATCAAATTTTCTCTTGTTTTGTCTCCTAAGAATGGTAATTAGAAGGAATATAGGAAGCAATCATTCATATTTGGTTGATGCTTTAAGGGGGCCATATTATGCTCATTTTAAGGTTCATATTTGTATTTTGTGCCTCTACCATGACTTTAATGTTCAAAAAGGTCTTTATTTTTCTCATACTGCCTGTTTTTCACCCTCTGTCTGAAACCAGAGCCCAGTCTGCTCTGATTGGTTAGCTGGCCGGCTCTGTTGTGATTGGTCAATGGCTTAGAGTTGTCCCGCCCCTTAGCCTATCACGTACAATGTGTTGGAGCGCTAGCCAATAGAAGCGCGAGTGTTAAATAGGGATGTCATTATGCAGTATATCCTTGAATTATACTGCTATATTTTCACACTATTATTGGACAACATTGCCAATAATAGAAACTGAAAAATACTTCTGTTTCCACTGTAGTTACGCACATTATTTAATGTGTTAGTAAAAATTGCAGCAATCAACTCATTTGAATACAAGTTAAAGACACAAGTCACCAACCCACTAAAGCATTTATTCCACATTGATTTAGCCTATTATTCTCTGTATTCAACTTACCCCAATAAGGCTCAGCTTCTTCCCCCTCCTTTCAAAACAACCTGTGGAAGAGAATGAGACTTGTGACATTATGCATATTTGACCAGATAAAAAAAGCAGATTAAAAAGTTTGAATTACAATTGAACTCAAACTGGATATAGTATAAACATATACCTATCCGATTTAACCATACTGCTCTCTTGCACCTCTTCGCTTGAGTCTGTGAAGCAGAAAAAGACGTATCATGCTGTCATTTAGAGTCATAAAAATGATGTGCATCACTCCTCACATCTGTATTCCTCACGACATGTCTCGTCATGCTGTAGGAATCAGCTGAGAGTCAAGCAGCCCTGGAATTCACACAATGCCAAATTCAAGTAACAGCCTGTGTATCTATACGCTCACCGCAAACAGGCTGTAAAACCTTCAAGAATGTGCCCTTAGAATTCTGACTGAAATCCAGTTCAGTTAGGTTGATTATAAGTTGTTGAAAGCATAAATGGATCAAAAACTCTAGGCAACTCTAAATAAATCTAGCTTTACAAAATGGCTTTTTTTATTTGTTACTTCTAGAAGCCAAACAAATCAACAAAACATCACCTCCTTAGCGAAGGTAACACTTGAACAGGTTTTTCCAGAAATCCTCGAAGTTGACTGCAGGTGTTTGTTTGTTTGTAGCCTTTATTTAACCAGGTTAAAAAATCCCATTGAGATCAACTTCAGGTGATCTACTTCTAGCAACAGACACTGCCTTTATCAGCTCGAAACCCAAAATAGTATTGTGTTGTCTCTTAGGGACTGAAACCCACAAAATATATAATGGATTTCCATAAACGTACACATATAAACTACCGATAAAGAACTTGTGAACTTGCCTGGAGTGTCATCAAATATTTAAACTACGTCACAGAAACAATCAAATGTAATGAGCTGAGACTAACGTTGAGTTTCTCCCCAGCAAACATGTTCTACTCCTCCTTCCATTTCTCACCCCTTTCCAGTGGTGGAAAGTAACTAGTAAAGTATTGTACTTAAGTACGTTTTTGACCTATTTGTACTTTACTTGAGTATTTCTATTTCCATACTTCTGCCCCACGGCATGTCAGAGGTGAATATCATTGTTTTACTCTCCTACATTTTTATAACATAGGTGTTTTGTGCACCTGAAAGACACAATATGCTATAATGCAGTACTGTACTAATAATCTCCACAATATTTCAAGTATCCACTATCCAGTATCCAGCATCTAGTATGTCATAGTAGTACAATTGGTCCACATCAACAAACTATAAATGTACTAAATGTTTTTACAAGTATAAAAACAATATAATATAATAACCATACTAATAAAATACTATGAAAAAATCCATTCTGAATAACTAGTACTTTTACTTTAGATACTTGAATTACATTTAGCTGATTCTGTACTTAATAGAATTCTGAAATGGTCCATTGTGCAGAAGTACTTTTACTTTTTCTAAATGTTTATGCTAATGCATTTCTACTTTTACTTAATCAATATTTTGGAATCACTTACTTGTGATGGAATATTTTAAGACCTTTGAGTACTTCTTCCAACACTGCCCCTTTGTCAACATTGAACTCCCTCCATTCATCAAAAAAATGCTCTACTTCTGCGTAAATCGAGAAAACGAATACACAAATCATATCATTGTTATGCATTTCAATCTGCTGATTAGTAACCCAAGAAAAACGACTCTGTAAATGATTATGGGCCACAACCTTAACTCTGGGAAAGACTGCACTGTAATAATAACAATAATAATAATAATATTGGGAGGGATGAAACCCTCTTTAATGGTCACACATGCAGAGCACACAGCACATGCTAACACTCGTCATGTAATTAAGTAGATTATTCTGTCAGAGTCACATTGTGTGGATCCCGTACAGGAGCTCTAGGTCTGTTGTGTTGTACCTGAACAGGTAGCAGCAGAAGATGAGGGTGAGCATGAGGATGAAGAGGCCGATGCCCAGGATGATGATGTAGACATTGAGCGGCAGGTGGAAGAGCTCTTCAGAGGTCATCGTGCAGTAGGGATCGTCACACAGACACCCTGAGACGATAGGACACATAAAAGAAAGATTACAGAAATGAAAAAGGGAAAAAATGGATGCATACATAAAACATAAAGCAACGGGAGGAAGAAAATACATAACAGCAGCAGATGATTTCCATATTTCCTCAGATTTGTATTTTTGTCCGAGTGAAAGCCTCTGAAACTGCATTTAAAAAAATGCTTTGTGAGCTAGCCATTAAATATGTATTTAAACTAGTACAAATATTAATTCATGTGGAGGCTTCCTACATACAGTGAACGAATAACAATTTTGACAATTAAATACTATTTATCAAACTGCATCATATCCATCATATCAGCATATATAATATAGCATGACGGCATTATAGTCCAAACCAAATCAAGCTTGTTTTCACACAAAGAACAAGGCACTCATGAACAAAGCCTAATGTTAGTAAAAATGCGAATAAGTATATATTAATGTGGTCAAATGCATTTGGAAAATTACATTTTTTAGACATGAATAGCCTCAGTTAACAAAGCAGCAGTCAGTTAATTCCCATGTAAGGAATGTAGCATACATCATGTGGCATTTAGAAACAGAGCAGAAATGACAAAGACATTTTTTTACGACTTTCAAAACAAAGTGCATACAGAGGGTTTTACAAATGGCATTTAAAGAATGTTGATCCATTTGAAAGCAATGAGAGGTTTAGCTAGTGTGTGTCTGTTTGAATAATGTATGCATAAAGGATTTGAGTAGTGGTTTCATTTCGTGGATGATCTGATTATTGGACTTGTTCTTTAGTACCCAAACCTGAAAGCTCACTTTTCATTGTGGAATTGTGGATTGCAGAACAACTTTTAAGATGACAATCTCACTGTTGACAGAATCAAAACGGTCCCCTTATAGATAGTGGGACAAGTGCATGACCGTATTATCTTACAGTAAACACTCTCACTCTTAAAGTGGAGCATAGGTCGTCCAAAAATTCTGTTCACTTTTATCTTTCTTTTTAGCAATAAGTCATTGCATTGCAAGCCACGAGTAAGTCTCAAGTCTTTTAATGCAGTCCCAAGTCATAACAGGAAAGTCCGAAGTCCTAAAATTTGAGTTTTTGAGTCCTAAGTTAGTCGTTTTGCATACTACAACATTCATTTTCTGTTGATCACACCATAGTCATGTACAAGAACAATATTATATTGGTATCATTTTTCAAACTGGCAGTCAGTACGAAATGTTAGATCTTCAAGGTCCTTTCCTGCAGCTTGATTGGCTGCTGTGAGATTAGTTCAAAGAAAGTTGATCTGGGGAACTCAGTGTAGACTTGCTGGGAAAGAATAGTGTTAAAGTTGGTTGATTCCGGAGATAAGTGGATTTGGGGAACGCTTTAAAAAAAAAATGTTTTAGGGGCAGGTTTTAAAGTATTTTCAAGTCAAAAAGGTCAGTCCAAGTTGAGTTGTAAGTCTCATGATTGAGTCTAAAGTCATCAAAATATGAGACTCAAGCCCAAACCTCTGCTTGCCAGTTTGTTTCAATTGTCCAAACTGGTCTCCTAGACAAGGTATCCCATCATACAGCACCCTGTCTGTGTAAACCTCCTATTACGAGGAATGTGGCATACAGATCTGTGTAACTTGTAAGGCCCTGGCGCATATGCACCACATTGCAACTGCTAAGCCTCGTATTTCAAGTCGCAATGTAATACTATTAGCAGAATGACATGATTTTAGCTGCATACCGTTTGTTTAACTTGGTGAAAGTTGAGGTGCAGTCATGGAAGTACGTCATATCCAACTTTGTGTTCACATAAGAAGTGAGTAAGTGGGAGGAAACGAGCCCATGTTGTTTTAAAAGGTCTACACTCCCATTTTTGACTCATATCTAGCCCTTTCTTCAATGTGATTTTAAAGCACTTATTATACGTTGTTTTGGACAAAGCATCTGCCAAATTAATTAAATTAATTTGTAGTCAAATCTTTATTTCATAAATGATGGTAAACATCTATAGTGATACGGATCAAACCGAGTTAAGCTATAACAGTCTATAACTGGAAGCATTTAGATAATTGTTTCTACTTTTGTTTACTATCCTCCTAATATTCAGTGCCTGCACCAGGATAGAAACCCTACACATATTTACAAAGTTAATAGATCCCACATCAAAATGACTTCTCCCAGCACTGCAAAGCACTTTCATGTGAACTTTTACAAGCATCTTTTGCGTCACACAGGAATGTGTTCACTTCTTGGACCGCGTCCTGGACTAAAGAGTAGGTACTAGCTGGAGTTTAGGCTCAGGAAGAAAGGGGTGTTTTTAGCCTGAGGGGCTTGACATGCCAGTTTTCATTCCACATGATGCATGTCAGCCTTAAACCACAGTAGTTAGCTATTTCTTAAGGTCAAGAGGCACATTTAATACCGTTGAGGTGACCCCTTGGTTCAAAAGTTATTTCTTAATGGACAGGGGTCACGTCAGGGGGGGGGGGTTTTCGCTGAAGCAGCTGTAATCTTAGCACGATGTTGGTAAATCATTGATAGTCGACTGCTAAAAGGTAGGCCACTGCAAATGCATGCAGACTGGATAGGGCTGTACCTGAATACTGTTTAACAGGAACAGAACCTTTGGTTTTTACACTTTAAATTTCTGGCTGGAAACTGAAATAAACTTAATAGTAAAATAATATGTTTAAAGGTCGTTTTTGGAAGTATGTTTAAGGTCATATCAGTTGTAAAACATTTAACACAATGTGATCGTTGTTCTATTGATCGTGTCATAAAACAATACATTAGGATTGGGTTGTGGCAGCTTAATTTAGTGGTAAGTTTGTTTAGCATGTCCTGATTAACTAGAATACGGAGAAAAAAAACATGTCCTATTTTTTTACACACTTTAGTAATGTGTAAATGTCTGCTATACTAGGAAACATGCTATTTAAACTATTGCCAGTTAACCTCTTTTTTAACAGCATTTTGATTAGCAAGCTAACAAGCTTTGTCAGTTAGTTGACAGTTACACCTGGCAGTCACCTGATGTTATTATTTGGAAAAAGTATTTGTTACCTGGATGTAACTCAGTATTGTAAGTATTTGCATAGCCCTCTTACGAGAAAGATAAGCCGCATGTAGGCTAAAACCTGTGCTTAAGTCTAGTAAAGTAAAACCACACCTTCTCCTTCAAAGTTGACCAGTCCGGCTAAAAAAGTCTGAAGCTGATGTGGGCTGCATGATTCCCGCTTGGCCCTGATGGCAAATACTTGGGAGAGTTCATGAAAACGTAACATAAAATACAATGATCTCACGGCATTTCGTGTTATAGTCACGACATTTAATCTATTGATTCGTGTTCACCAACACGATTTTCCCCTTTTTTTTGTGTCACACAGAACGATTTAAAAGCAATGTATTTCTATTGGTAGTGTGTTTCGTGCCTGCACCACGTCTTTTTGTCCGGTCGGGTCTTGGAAGACCGGAAGCTGTGTGGTTCATAAAAACATGTTCTTACTCAATATCAAGCCACGATTATTGTTTTTTGCCGTCCACGAGGAAAAGAAATGGGGCTCAGAGCCTCAGAATACTGAAATCTGTATTTTTTCAATCTTTTTTTCCTTCTAATTTGTTATTCTTTTCTAAATAACACACTGTTATTTACTCAACAATAACACACAATTATCCTTGTTTTTATTTATTTGTTTAATTCTATAATCTCGGGCGTCCGTCAGGAACTGAATTTCAAAATAAAATAGCCGGAAACAGAAGTAGGCCTTTAAGGGACATTTCGAGCATCATTGCGATACACACCCACTGAACTGATTACCCAAGATCCTCAGTTATGGTCTAAACTCGGTGATGGATGTTTTAGCCGCAATGCACGTTGGGATATGGTGTTAATGCGATATGAAATCCGAAAAAACATTTCGGGGTGTTTCTCAATCGCGAGTACGCTTGCTTGGTAGCACATGTCTGCCGAGCATCTTGCTTCAGAAGCGAGTCAAGAATACTTCCTGGCATTCGGAAAATGAAGTGTGGAACACGCTAGCAATTGTGCAGGTGTGCGTCATATGAGAGGCCCCGCCTTACATCTTCCGCCACAGATTTGGGGAAATTGGTCCGTGTGCAAGCATTGTGGGGATTTTAAGACCGCGAAGTCTACTCATGTGCAGACTCGATATTTCTCCAAACGGAGTACGCCGGGCTCGGTAGATTTCCAAGTATACTGGAGATTGGAACAGTACTTCGGCGGCACTCGATGACGTAGTATGCTTGAAATAGTGGCTCTGAAGCAGCTTTACTCGCGATTGAGAAACACCCTCGGAGTTTAGGATGGCCGAAGACACTACACTACCCATAATCCTCAACTATCGTTTGGGACTACAGTCCCTTTGCCTGACAAACCCCGTGATTAATCTGGGATTGGATGTTGGTGTGGCCAGTGCGCCAAGGTTACGCCGAGCGTCAAACAGCACTTTGAAATGGAACGAAACCACGGCAGACTATCCAAACTGGACTCGAACGGGACCAGCACCCCCCCCCCCCCCAGAACTACACATGCTGGCTATTGTGTTTCACAAATAGTTCTATGGGACGTCTCTACTGGAACGTTTTCGTTTTTCCCACAATTAGAAGTTGCCAGTATTAAACACGTTGGTGTTATCAAATTTAAAACATATAATTAATAAATAGGTGAAAAATTGCTTGTGTCCATAATGGGCAGCATTAATATATAACCACATGACAGCTCATTGTTACTTTGTAATTCTACAATTCAGAGGTTAACCTGGTATTTTTACTCCACTACATTTATTTTAGTTACTTTTATCCTGGCAAGGACAAGAAGATTCGGAGACAGCTGCTTCCCGCGGGCAGTGAGACTGTTTAAAAATTGAACTGTTGAAACAACTTCAAAACATTCTTCAGCTACTCAATAATATGTATCTAATACCTAATATATATATATCATTCCAATAACTTGTATATAGACTCGTACTGCACTATTCCACATCATCACTTTATTTTATAACCATTTTTCTTTTTGTATTGCTCTTGCTCTTATTGTTATTATGTTATTATGTTGCATTGTTGGAGAAGCCTGTGACATAAGATTTTCAACTACATAATTACTCTGTAGCTATGTCAGATTGACAATAAAGAACCTTGAACCTTGAACCTTTGCAGATTCTGATTAATGATGTGTATAAACAACCCTTAAATCAGACTTTAGTTACACCTGAGTAAAATTCAGGGAAGGTGATTGTCAAGTGCCAACAATCAGGCGAGATATTAGTTGGTGCTTGAGAAGACTAAACATTTATCTGCAGATCCCTATAAAGTATATTCATTAGTCGTTATTCTCTACTAATAGTTCATTAAAGACTGTATATAATGGCTATTTTGCACATCCCTTTCAAGATTTCAAGATTTTCTACGGTTTATTGAGATATCATATACACAACTATGGTGTAGTTATGCAATGAATGAAAAACTTGGGTCGCAGGTTCCTCAACAGTGCATTACAAGACATCTATCAATATGTGTGTTCCTCCACCATTAAACTGTCAAATTCTGCACATTTCTTATACTATCTACATACATAAGAGTATAATTCATATGTATAATATCAGTTAAAATAAGTGCTTCGACATTGTTAACATTGCAGGAAAGCAATATATTAGACGTTAAGTACTTTGTCAGGCTTAATATTTATCTGTAGATACAGTACCCCCAAAGCTTTTTTCTTATTTAAACGAAGACCTTAACCTAAAGTATTCTTTAATGTTTAAATAAAGGTTAATTCGTTTTTCTGTTTTGCACATCCTCATATTAATATCTTTGTACATCCGGCACTAAACTGTTTTATTGTAGAGATCACTTACAGTATCTCTTTATATTCTATATTTCTATCATTGACCTTCTACATTCCCCCTATTTGTATGTACTCTTAATATTTTTTTTATCAAATATAACATTAAAAAAAGAATTCAATAACGTGCTTTAACCACTAGGCGGTGCACACAAGGTACACACAGCATACAATGCCATAATATATTTGTATTATTAGTGTAGGACACTTATGTATGTATGTATAACATCTGAAGATGTGTAGTTTTATTCATGTTTTCACATAATTTTACAGGATATTGCTATATTATTTCACATGTTTTACTTCTACACATTAATATCTGATTTGTAAAACATCAGACAGAAAGGTATATCCGTCATTTAATGGTAAGCTATTGAAATTCTGATTCCATAGATGTGTCTCCCATCACCCAAAACCCCTGACTATTCTCTCAACTCAGTATTTACATTCTTATATTCAAAGAAAATCAGTAATATCTTTAAAAACTACAAGTCCCTTTCTATCAGCTGTGCACCGTTATGGTGTAAATATCTATCTACCAATTGGATCAAATATAAAAGTCAGCCGAATTAATGTTGATACTGCAAGGAGACATATTGTGTGAAGAGAAATTGAAGATGTTGTTTAATTGCTGATATATTTATGATCCACGTCACGTATTCAGTTTTGGTGGCAGTTCTTCCAGTTTGTCCAGAGGTCTTCTAATCAGGGCTCTATAAATAAAGAACTACGGCAGATGTGTAATATTTAATGCAGCCGAACCGTGTATTACAATGCCGTTATGTGATGACTTTCAAAGAGAAAAGCAAGCACACTCGGATTAAAGTATTATTTTCTTTTTTTTTATAAATGTTTTTCGGATTTCATGTCGCATAAACACCATATCCCAACGTGCATTGCGGCTAAAACATCCAATCACCGAGCTTCAACCATAGCTGAGGATCTTGGGTAATCAGTTCAGTGGGTGTGTATCTGTTTCCGGTTATTTTATTTTGAAATTCAGTTCCTGACGGACGCCAAAAAAGCCCGAGATTATAGAATTAAACAAATAAATAAAAACAAGGATAATTGTGATGTTATTGTTGAGTAAATAACAGTGTGTTATTTAGAAAAGAATAACAAATTAGAAGGAAAAAAAGATAAAAAAAATACAGATTTCAGTATTCTGAGGCTCTGAGCCCCATTTCTTTTCCTCACGGACGGCAAAAAAAGTCAGACATTATAAGATTTAAAATAAAAACAATAATCGTGGCTTGATATTGAGTAAGAACATGTTTTTATGAACCACACAGCTTCCGGTCTTCCAAGACCCGACCGCACAGGCACGAAACACACTACCAATAGAAATACATTGCTTTTAAAATCGTTCTGTGTGACACGAAAAAAAGGGGAAAATCGTGTTGGTGAACACGAATCAATAGATTAAATGTCGTGACTATAACATGAAATGCCGTGAAACTGGGGTGAATAGGTAGCAAAATGACAATGAGGCCTCTGTTTCAGACAAAACCATGAAACAAACCAGCCGAGAATATCAACCAGTCACAGTGGCTAATGCCACTTGCCAAGCAAGTGGCATTAGCTGAGCACCATTAGCAGTAAACATAAATATCCAGTATGTCATCGAAGCTGGCAACATGAACACAGGACATTCCTTAGAGATGAGGCACTACAACCAGGGTTAGTTAGCCATCAATGCCTCCATCCCCTGCATACAGAGTGAGCATGGAAAGACATCTCAGTGACACCAAAGGGTGTAAAAGCATCTCAAGGTGGCTTAGGGAAAAAGAGAACCCAGGGACAGGTGTGGCATGGATGCTAACACCTTCGTGACGACAGCAAGTATACGTTGCATTGGGTAAACAAACAGCGAAGCCTGTTGGAGGGTAAAGCGCAAACAAAGTACAATTTGTTTGTCTGCTGCTACTCTGTTAAAGTTGAGCTTGAATTTCAATCTCCGATTAGTAAGCAATTAAATTATTACTATGCCAACTTTGAACTTGCATAAAAACTGTGCAAACGGTTCCAGTACACTTACCATTACACCACTGGACAGGATGCATCAGATATGTGAATGTTCGGTTGGCAAACCGAGAAAATATTTGAGGTCGTGACCTCTCCAATATCACAAAGTCTGGTTACCACAAAAGCACAAGCTTTGTACCACCTTCTAGGTTCAGAATACTTTAACCCCGATAGTAGAGCGGATGTGCAGTGACTTCTGGTCAGGAGTAAGCAGATCTGATAAGAGAGTTCTCAAGAAGACATTACTCAAAATTGAACCTCATTTGACCCTTAGTGTGCAGTGATGATGAAGTGTGCAGCCACTGAAAGACAAAGACAACAATCTTGTAGATGAACCTGTGAGCCTTGTGGATAAAAAAACACCAATGACAGTATGAGGAAATATACTCCAAATCACATCCAGCACTCTGGTTATGTACCTCTGGTCATAGGCGCAGTCCCAGCTCTTCTGTTTTGCCTCCTGTTCAAAACATTGTCACGAGGCTTTCCCTCCCTTCCTCCTCTTCTTTTCTCTTCTCCCTTCCTTTCCTCTCCTCCTCTGTCCTGTCTTCTTTAGCTCCCCACCTCGCTTTCCTCCTCTCTGGCTGTGAAAATTCTGCCGAGTCTAATTATGGAGAGACAAAGGGAAGGACATGGATGTGTTTCCCGGTAGCACGGCCAGCCAAGCAGGCGAGCAGAAAGGCAGGCAGCCTCAGTGTTCCTGTGGAGGGCAGAGTCTCATCCCTTTCCCTGCCTTCCTGCTCGGAACAAAGCACACAGGGAGGTAAACAACACAGGAACACAACGGGCTGATGTTAATTCAGATCCAGGCTCTCCTGTCTTCTCCTGTATTTGCTTCTCACATTGCTTTCCTTCTCTCTCTTCTCCACTTCTCTACAGCCCTCAGTTTGTAAACAGATCCCTGCTCATGTGATTCGCTGTCTGCATCACAGCTCTGCTTTCACCGCCCCCTCCTTCCTTCTTCCTCCCTCCCACTTTCCTCCCTCTGCCTGCCTGCCTGCCCTCCCTTCACCTCTCGCCCCTCTGGGTTTTTCCTTCCACCCCCCTAGTGCTTCCTTTGCAGCTGCAAGCTATTATTGAAGTGGCTGCAGAGCAGATGGCAGACAGGCAGATGAGAAAACTGTCAAAGTGAGAGACTGCGATATGAAAGGTATTAGATGTTATTGATTCCATGCCATTTGTAGAATTGGTTTACCAAGATTAGTTTATACAAACTCCTCCTTAGATTATACAACTGATTACCTGAACTCACTCAGATAGGGAACTAGGCCGTTACCAACAAGGCTAGAACAAAACCTGGGCGAAGCAGGAAACTGTGCCCAGGTGCATAAACCTCCTCAAGGTTTAAAGAGGCTCTGTTGTGCTTTTGGGGGTTTCCCTTCCCTGTAGTGTTAGGTTTTTGTGGATGTAAATGGTCTGCAAAGGCTAAAATCCCTGTGTTCCCTCCAGAGGGAGTTTCTCTCCCGCACACTCCCCCCCTGACTGAAATGCCTCCATTGGACTCCTTTGTTTACTTCTGTAACATAGTGATATCACTATATAAACTCACACTTCTTTTGGGTAGCGCTCCAACTCATTGTACAAGATAGGCTAAGGGGCGGGACATCTCTAAGCGTTTGACAAATCACAACAGAGTCTACCAGACAGGGCTCTGGTTTCAGACAGAGGGTGAAAAGTGGTGCTGCAGCACAGGCAGTATGAGAAAAATAAAGACATTTTTGAACATTGAAGCTTGTAAACACGACACAGTAGAGACAGAAAATATAATTATGAACCTGAAAGTTTGCATAATACCTCTTTACCTGTCTTACGCTAAATATTCCCCTAAACTCAGGGGGTCATTTAGGAGCTTTGTATTGCAATGTCTAAAGAGAGCTGCATGTGGCCAGTTTGAGTCTATGCCAAAGTTTCGGCCGAAGGAAACGATTTTGACCTTTGTTATGAGAAAATGTCTTTTGAAAGTTTACTATTAAATTGATGTAAGAACCCTTTAACTGGGTGAATACATTAACCATATTAGATAGTTGGGAAGTAATCAGTTGAATATAGGTCAAACACACACACACACACACACACACACACACACACACACCCACACACACACACACACACACACACACACACCCCTTCTTATACTTAATATAGCTGTAAGAATTAAATTAAAGGAAAATAAAAATGGAAAAGAGATGACTCAGTGAAAGCGGTTAGCTAGGAAATTTGAACAGAACAGAGTAACATGAAAGTAAACAATTCACTTTTTGTTTCTGAGGAGAATCACCTTCCTATTACCTGGAAGTTGAATGAATGGAAGGGTGAAAGGTCTGATTACAGCCCCCAACTAACCCTGTGTTTGGTTGCAAAACAATATAATATGTCAACCTATCTTAGCTATAACATGCAGTATGTGAAGCCAACTTCAAAGTGACATAAGGTCCATCTAGTGGCTGATGTGCAGACGTGCAGCATATGGCTACCCGGGAAGTGACGTTTGTTTAGAAGTACATTGTAAATTGAAGGTTTCTCATTTCTCTAATTCCACTCCTCGACTCCTATCCTCCTATCCTCGTGTCTTAGTCCCGGGTTGCGGTCGGATAATCCAAAAATCAGCTCCTAACGTCTAACCCTATCGTCTATTCCTTGACCTCGGAGTGAAACGTCACGGGGTTAAGGGATAGTGGATAGGAGAATTCAAAAGGACTTAGGAGAAGAGACTGCGGTACTTTAGAGAATCCGACTGCACTTTCACTATCCGACGTGTTTATGATGCGCCAGCGGAGGTCATAAATGTGCGCCTGCTGCTGTGGGGAAACTATGGAAACTACAGTTTTCTATAGAGCGGACTACAACATGGATGTATAATAAGAACGAGGGACTACTGTAAACTCATCTAGAGACTCTGCACCGTGCTCTGATGCTGTTGTTTTATGCTTTATGAACGTGGACAACAGATAAACATATTCTTCATGACCAAAGTTGGAATTGAAACAAAAAAGGAAAGTGAAACTTATGCTCGTCACCCTCTCCCTCCGGTCCACATTAATACAAATGATCCCAATACGTAGGATTGTATGAAAAGATCTTAAAATCAATACAAATGTATTTATTATAAACGTTAGTCCTTAACATCTATCACTGTGTATATCACCATTCAAACATCTTTTAAAAGTTGAACAAACCCCACACAGCTCAGTAAAGACTGTGAAATGTTGACTTTATTTGATCATTTCAGTCAAAACTAACGTTCATATTTCTCTTTTTGATTATAATACTGATTAACGTTCAAAACAAAGCACTTTGGCAAGTTACCACATACGTTTTAAAATGCTTAATAAGGACCGTAACTTTCATGATATCATTTCTCGGTCATAATCGGTTGTTTCCGTGAACGGCCGACTATTGTGTGACGGCAAATGCTGCGGCTGCAAGGCATTGTGGGGCAGCATTTTCTCCTCTCCTTTCGGTGAGGGAGGTCCAGTGGTTCCTAAGCTAAAGGAGGTTATAAAGGAAGTTTGAAACCTCCTTTCCTATCATCTACTAACTAGACTCTAGAGAATTCGAACGGCACTTATCATGGCTGCCACTGAAGGACTTCCGGGTCATTTCACTCCGTTAGGAAGGTTCCTAAGCTAAATGGACTATTCGACTTCAGCCTCGATGTGCATTTAGAGAAATGAGATGTCCTTCAACATGGCGCGCTGAAATCCATTTCCGGGTCACTACCGGAGGGCCGAGGATTCGAGGAGTCGAGGAGTCGAGGAGGGGAAATTAGAGAAATTAGCAACCTTCATTGTGAATAATGAACCAGAAGGAAATGCTTAGAGTTAAAATATCACTGAGACTTGGTTTTAATTGTAATATTCCCATAAGATCCTTACGGGGATTTAAGTTCTTTATGCAAATAAGTGTAGTAAATACTAACTTTATCAAACCCTTCTAATCCTACTTATTTTAAACCTCACTGATCTTATGGTCCGTTACAAAAGGGATATTTATAACATTTTAATTAATACAAACAATGTCATGTAAACTGTTGATCACAATGACCTTGTACGTTAATGCATATTTAGACGTAACACTAACTCAGCAGTTTTCAAACTGTGGGGCGCACCCCACTACTGCAGGGGGGCATTGCTTTTTGCATCAATAGAGCTTGTCAGATTCATGATTTCCTAGGGCCATTCAATATAAGAACATTTCACAAAAACAAAAAATTGTATGGACTTATTTTATGCTGTCTGTATTGAACCAAATGTTTTGGTAAAGTTAAACGTCAAATACAAACCTGACACTTTGCTAGGTTTGGTTATACCCAAAAAGACTTTAATAGTTTACCGTTTACTGACAAATAAAGCCCAGAAAGAACTGTAAAAACATGTATCCAGATGTTTTATCCAAAATGTGTACAAAATGTTCTGAGTTTGAAACTGAGGCCTTCATTTTCCAGCCTCAAATATACCTGTCATTCCCATATTACTAAATACAACATACAGCAACAAGTGTCACTCTTTTGCAGCACTTTGTGTTAGTTACACAAGGCCTTTTTAAAAGCTATTCACCTATTTCAGTTGCTCAATTTAGTAATTTACCTGATTTTGCGATAACGTTTCTGACTGCTGAGATTCATGTATTTATTATTATAATTTGCTGTTTTCATCAGGCTGGCTGAAGATGTGTTTTTCAGCAATCTCAGTGATCTTGTTCACAGACGACTAACAGGCAGTCTTATAAGTGCCATTGGTTTTGTTTCCTTCTTGCTCTCCACTTTCTGGGGCGGGCTCCACCTTCTTCGTTTGCAAAGGAAATACTGAGCCTGCTGGAGCCAGTGAAGAGGTCCTTTAAAAAAACTCATAAACCACGAGGCGACGGAGATGTCAGGAAATGTCACTAATGGCGCGTTTCCACTGCAGCGCGGAGCTCGCTTTAAGCGTGCCGAGCCGTGCGGGGCCCGTTTTTGGTTGCGTTTCCACTTGGCCTAGTACCGGCTAGCGGGTCCTAATTCACAGTTTTTCTGGCCCCATAAAATCGTGGTTCTAGGGCCAGGATTGGAACAACCAGGCTGAGTCGGGCTGAGTATGCTAAACTAGAGAGAGAATCGCTGGCAAGGGGGCTACAACTACAACAAGATGAACATATTTGACCGTGATTTAATTGTAATACACGTTTCAAAATGATGCCGAAGTAACAACATACTGATACCGGTTAGTAAAAACCATGAATTAATGCTTTGACAAGTCTGCAGACAGACGGCAGGCGGAAAACCTTTTAAAATGCGTGTTGTCTAAATGGAGATTGGCTAAGCTAACGCAGTATATGCTCCGACCGTCCACACTCACAACAACGGCCTATACAGACATAAATAAACCAGCGACTGTATTCGCCATGACACAGACAGTCTGTGGTTTGTACTTGTTTAACTTTTGTCGAGTCTCTGAACAGATATGAGGAGCTGTGAGCTCTGAGTGCTAACAGCTAACGGCTGTGTTGTTTTTCTGGGGTTCTCATTGAAGATGACGTCACGGCTCCGCCTACACTGCGTTACTATAGATACTACCCCAGTTCCTAAACTGTCATGCAAAATGCACTTTTGTACGTCTTTTATACATATTTCTTACGAAATAAGGTCCCATGGAGGTCCACCGGAAGGGGAGGGACTTCGCCACTCTATAGAGTGGCGAAGTCACACCCATCTACTTCCGGTCCATGGGACCTTATTTCGGAAAAAGTATGTATTGAAGTCAATGGAGAGAGAAAACGTATCTTTCGATCCCGTTTGAATTGTGCCATGAATTACACATATGATGTTTGTCAATCTTAACAAATAATTTCCATGTAAAAAAAGTCACAGTTTGTCGTAAAACTGTTGAAATATAAGACTATGAAAAATACGCAACTAGAAAG